ACAATTAGCCTACTTTATAATCTAAAATATTGCAAGGAAACAATGGCAGACGGTAAAATGTTGGTAAAAGTTATATTTTCTTTTGCAAGTTCATTCGTCTATACTTGAAATATTGACAAATTGTATGCCAAAAGTTGTCGCAGGACATTATAGAACTTTATTACATTCAAGAGGCAGACGGTGAAAACTGGTTCAGAGACACTGTGAAAAAATTTTTAATTGGCTAATGCCTATAAATCATTAATACACAGGCAAACCGTCTGCCTTGTGGAAATTCGTTCATTTCATGCTATTGTTAGTCTACGGTGTACTTGACAGACGGTAAAAAATTGATTTCAGTTAACCATTTTTTTTTTCGGTTAAATAAAAAATTCATGTTTTAGCCGGAACACCATATAACCGTCTGCCAATGATTTTATCTGTGGGTTGTGTAACCTAGCCTTCCGGTCGCATGAATGGCAGACGGTAAAATGATGGTCAAAGAACCTTTTTTTTATGCAAACTTGAGTTTACGTTTAAGAATGTGTAACATGTGAAAACATTCGTTCAACGCTCAATATTGTTGCTTGTAGCTGTAAATATGTCATCTGAAAAAGACAGACGGTAAAAAATGGGGTCAAAATTTCTGTCACATGCTCCCGGTCTACTTGCCATGTTGCCACACAAATATGGTGACTCTAATAACCTCAGCTCTCAGATATCATATTCTTTCTGTTGAAACAACTTCATGAAAAAAAAAAAGTGAGAAGTAACACAACACGTATCAAGTTCTTCAATTTAACCAAAAGGGACGAGGCCAGGCCCACCATCAATGGAATAAAATTGGTGATCCAAATAATTACTTCATCACTTCTGATAAAGTCTACGCAATCATAGACCAAAAGTTAGGAATAAAAATATACTGATCACAGCCAATCAATCCGTCTCCGCCCATGAAATTTCACACCTTTGAAATATCTATATGTTTTGGTCGGATTACATTACAGGAATAACAAATGTACTCTCCTTGATACTTGAAATACAATTATGTGTTGAATAGTGGTTTTCAAGCTCGATGAAGCCTTTCATGGAATATTTCTTGAGTGTACAATCATCTACCTTATTAGTAATTCGTACAACATTCTGAGTGATGTTGACTCGCTTGATTCTACTGATAGCAGGTTTGTTCTGGTTCTGCGAAATTCAGGTTCTAGGACGTCAGGATCATGCGCAGTTGATATAGAGCGTTCTGGTTTATTGAGGATAATTTCAGACTGATGAATCCTCTGTTCTGGTTTTGACTGCCAAATGATCCTGAACTGTTTTGAACCGTCCCGAATCGTTCTTGCTCTCGAAGCTGAACTGTTGAGAACTCTTCCCGTTGCTCATGCGCATTCATGTGGTAATTTGTTTGGCCTATTTGCTAGGATGTTTTTTTATTTATTTGATTTGAAAAATTGATGATTGAGGGTAGACAACATTTGAGCAGACTATAGGGATATGTTACATAACAAAATGGAAATGGTTAATAATATTTTCTCGTCTTCATCTCTACATATATACGATAGGTGGCACAGTGGTCTCTTCAGAAGTGTTCTGGTTCAAACAAGTGTCCGAGACTATTTCGGACTGTTTGAGATTTTTTGTTTGTACGCACCATGTCTTGCGCAGTTTTCAAACGTTTTGGGATGTTAGAACCAGAACAAACCTAGCAGTATATATCGGCAAACTGTAGTTGCTCATGTAACGGCTTCAGAAATCATACCAAACTGCAACTTCTGTTTTTGTACGGTTTCATTCAGCTGGCCCTGTTAGTTTGTTCGTTTCTTTATTTATTCATTTGTTTGGGTCAAATTCAGTAATTTTGACTCCCTTCCTGTCGAGAGATCGATCAGAAATTTGGTACCCATATTTAGTTCTGATGCCAATACAATTTAATGTATTCCGCATCATTGTTTATCCAAGATGGTCACAGCTACAAAATTGCGGATTACATATTGTTTCACAACCACCTCAATATGAGTATTAAATGACAGTGCTCGACTGGTAGAATACTAGTACATTTTGAAAAAGACGCAAACAAAATGGCGGATTACATATCACTTTGTAATACTGAAGCACTAATCGAACTGAACAGAATCAGAAGTATTGAGTGACAAAATTGAAAACTTAACACTTGAAAATGAAATGGGAAAAAAAAATTTTTTTGAACTGTTCAAAAAAAAAAGATAATAGTGATGTAGATAATGTACTGAGAACTGAAAAATGATTAGGAAGGTCCTAGGTGGTAGTCATCACACCACTCTCCCCAGCAGTATACTGTATAGATCAGATGAAATACTAATAGAATCGTTGAATGTAGTACTCAAGTTAAGCTTCACCCAAAGATTTTATTATTTTTTCATCTGATCAATACCGTAGACTGCTAAGGAGAGTGGTGTGATGACTGCTACCCAGAACCTTCAGAATTATTTTTCAGTTTTCAGTACATTATCTTAATCACTACCTTACATGTGCGGTCTGACTATCCATTATCAATTTCATTAATGGAATCGATTTCAGTTGCGAATTACAGGAATATATACACTTTCCGTGGATGAGACGCATGCATATCAATCGAGCGAGTAAGTATAATATGAGTTCAGACCTGTTTGTTCACATTTATGAAAATCATATATTTGGGATGACCTTTCATTTTTCATAGCTTGAGATTTCAACGATGCAGTTTGGACATGATCCAAATTCTTACAATTCAGCATATTCAATCACTCCTATTTTGCTCGATCCTCTGTATTGCGTAAAAAATTATAGTCTAATTGACCTCTTTCTTGGCTTTACCATCATTGAATTCTGAGAAAGCGGGTTCAAGAACGTTTTCAATGTTGCTATCAGTGTTTTTACCATTATTCTCGTTATTCCTATCACTATACTTCCATTTTTTACCGACCAGTAACTTTATGCATATTGCCCAGTTTGTCGATAGTATTTTCTTAAAACATCTTCAAATGTTTAGGTGAAGCACTTTCAGAGATAATCGTGTAAACAAATACGTGAATGTCGCTAACATACTGATACTTTTTATTTCATTAGGTATAGAGACTTTTTTCAACAGATACATTCATTATCAATGAAGTGTCTATTTTGCACAATAGATAGCGTTACTAGTAACACAAATAAGAAATATTTTTATTTTGATACATCATTCTCACACCCCTACTTATCAAAATAAACAGATAACATTATCTTGGTACAATTCCTAATTTACGTAGAAACTTATAATGTTTAACAGGGCATAAACCTTCAGTGAGAATATAGGCTATCATTTCTTCAGTACATAAATATAGAAGAAAGTTTTTGGCTTTCTACTACTCCATCTTGATACAAAAAAAGAAGGATGAGGGAGTCTTCCAAAGAAAGGAAGGAAGTAACTCTATACATGGATGTGTAGATCATGCAAAGAAGTAACTTTCAGACACAAACGAAAGAAAGTCCTGAAACAGCTACTTTCATATAAACATTGAATTATACGAAAGAAAAAATTCTTTCGAAACAAATACTTCTATATGAACACTGAATTATACAGAAGATACTTTTCTCTAACCAGTTTGTATTTCAAACATTCGTTGTGGAATAAAAATCAGATATCATTCACATGAGTTCTACTCCAAATGAATGGTAACAAATTGCACTTACATAGAACACTGCCATCCTCACTGGTATACACCGATGTTTCGCCTTGAGACACTTGCCCTAAGGCTCTTCAGAACCAAATTGGATAATATTATAGAAAATACACACACTTCATTCGTGAATTACGATTTTTTAATGTCACGGAATGAGCTTGATCTGCTTATGTCATCGATGACATCGTAATGACATTCATTCACCTATTTGATTCAATCCCAGCCAAGAGGAATCTTATTTGAATTGAAGGGGTTATATATATTAGGAGTGATTAATTTTTGGGAAAGAAAGTTTTTGGCTTTCTACTACTCAATCTTGATACAGAAAAAGAAGGATGAGGGAGTCTTCCAAAGAAAGGAAGGGAGTAACTCTATACATGGATGTCTGAAAGTTACTTCTTTGCATGATCTACACATCCATGTATAGAGTTACTTCCTTTCTTCCTTTGGAAGACTCCCTCATCCTTTTTTTTTGTATCAAGATGGAGTAGTAGAATGCTGAAAACTTCCTTTCCCAAAACATAATCACTCCCAAAAAATATAATCCCTTCAATTCGAATAAGATTCCTCTTGGCTGGGATTGAATCAAATAGGTGAATGAATGTCATTACGATGTCATCGTTGACATAATCAGATCAAGCTTATTCTGTGACATTAAAAAATCATAATTTATGAATGAAGTGTGTGTATTCTCTATAATGTTATCCAATTTGGTACTGAAGAGCCTTAGGGCAAGTGTCTTAAGGCGAAACATCGGTGTGTACCAGTGAGGATGGCAGTGTTCTATGTAAGTGAAATTTGTTACCATTCATTTAAAGTAGAACTCATGTGAATGATATCTGATTTTGATTCCACAACGAATGTTTGAAATATAAACTGGGTAGAGAAAAGTATCTTCTGTATAATTCAGTGTTCATATAGAAGTTTTTGTTTCGAAAGAATTTTTGCTTTCGTATAATTCAATGTTTATATGAAAGTAGCTGTTTCAGGAGGACTTTCTTTCAGTTTGTGTCTGAAAGTTACTTCTTTGCATGATCTACATATCTATGTATAAAGTTACTTCCTTCCTTTCTTTGGAAGACTCCCTCATCCTTCTTTTTTTGTATCAAAATGGAGTAGTAGACAGCCAAAAACTTTCTTTTCCAAAAATTAACTACTCCTAAAAAATGTAACCCCTTTAATTCAAATAAATATAGAAGTTTTATATATTCATATTTAATAACATCTCTTACATAATGATACTTCACATAAATATGTTTCGATTTATTGTGACTTTGATTGCTTACTGACAATTTCAATGCACCTTGTCACAATATATCTCAATCATATAAAAACTACCTATAATTTCATGAAGAAGGTTTCTAAGATACACTGCTTCTCGGGCTGCCTCAGACAGCACAGTATATTCTGCTTCTGTGCTGTAAAGGGATACAGTCTTCTGCTTTCTGCTTTGCCATGAAATGACTGATCCAGACATTGTGAAGCAAAAGCCTGTATAAGACTTCCTGTCTGAATCATCACTAGCCCAGTCACCATGATGATAGCTTGCTATCATCCTTACAATATCTAAAACAATATGTTTTTGTATATAACGAATATTTTAAAATACGTTTAGCATAATGTCAATGTGTACGGTTGTAACAACTATCAAATTGGCTCAGATAAATAACTGAATAGGAAATGTCTGGCCTAGTTAGCACTGCCAAATACATCAATGATCCAATTAACTTTTGATATGGAAGATCAGATACACATTCATCAGCTTTTTTAGCATTTAATTTACATTCTATTGGGATTTCATATGTTTTACAATCAGACATATTGAATCTAGATGATAACTGTTCAATATACTGTTGTTGATCTACAGTTATTACATTTTTATTTTTGTCTACATTCATTCTCACACCTAGATATTGTCTTACAGGTCCCAAATCTTTTAATTTAAATTCTTCACCCAAAATGCGTTCCAAATTATCAGTACCAACAGAATTATTAGAAAACATTAAAAAATCATCAAAATATAGGGCCACAATAATTTTTATTTCACTCTTTTTGTGAACAAACAAGGCTCGTACTGACTATTTTTGACATCCAAATTACTAAGTAATTCTTCAACTCTGTCACACTACGCAAGAGGAGATTGTTTCAATCCATAGATTGCTCTTTCCAATTTCAAAACTTTTCCCCCACTTTTGTTCACAAAACCCTCACTTAATGACATGTAAATAGTTTTTTTTCAAAAAACCATTTGAAAAGGCTGTAGGTACCTCTAAGTGATCAATACTCATTTTCAACTCAACACTAAGAGCAAATAATAATCTAAGTGTGGAATGTCTCACAACTGGAGAGAAAGTATCTGTATAATCTATGCCAGGTTTCTGTGAAAAACTTTCGGCTACCAGTCTAGCTCGGAATCGCACATTGTTGTCCACATCAAACTTTTTATTAAATACACACCTACACTTCACTATTGTCACATCACCTGGGTTGTCAACGAGCTCCCAAGCATCGTTGTCCTCAAAAGATTGCAGCTCGTCGGCCATGGCGCCCTTCCACTGCTCACTCTCAGGTCCCGCAAGAGCCTCTGAGGATATGATCTCTTCTGATGCAGTACTGGAGTGACACATAAACCCATATCTATCAGGTTGTCTTCTGGGATGATTTCTAGATAATTCTGGTTCCTGCTTCTGATGCAGTACTGGAGTGACACATAAACCCATATCTATCAGGTTGTCTTCTGGGATAATTTCTAGATAAATCTGGTTTCTGCTCTGGGATTTAGGCCACCTGGGTTTCTTGTACTGAATCATCTGTAGTTGGAATTTCAGTCAATGTTTCATTCCCATCCTCATACATAGAAGTATCTGAGTGGCATTCTGGGGAGTCTGAAACATTTTGCGATGCTTTCCCCACTGAATCTGCATTCACTTCCTCTTGTATGCTAACTGCAGGTGTCTCTTCATTAGGAATCCAGTTAGCCGACTTCTGACTTTCTTTTTCGGTACCTAATTTTTTTTCCATGAAGATAACATCTCTGCTGATAAGAGTCTTCTTGGCAGGATTGTATAGCCTGAACCCTCAACATCTTCACTATAGCCAACTAATATGTGCTCTGCAGACTTCTTATCCCACTTCAAACGACGTTCTTTAAGGATATGTATCATGACTTTACATCCAAACAAACGTATGTGGCTTACGTCTGGTTTTCTCCCATATCATAATTCATGTGGAGTTTTCTGAAGTGTTTGCTGCGTCCGCCTAAAATTTTTCATCCAGCTTTGCATCAAACATTCAGACATCTAGCCTTCTCCAACACAGTACGATTGGCTCGCTCACATAGGCCATTCTGTTCAGGTGTATAATTATTTGATCTTTGATGGATTATACACTCTTGCTTTGAATAATTCTCAAACTCTTCGTTGGTGTACTCTAATCCATTGTCTGACCTTAGTATTTTTATCTTTTTATTAAATTGATTTTCCACCATTGTTTTGAAGATTTTGAAATAAGTGAATGCTTCATTTTCCTTTTTGAGAAAACATATAAACGTCATTCTACTAAACTCATCGACAAACAGTATAAAATACCGTACACCACCCAATGAACTAGTTTCCATTGGTCCACAAAGGTCTGTATGGATTCTGTGTAGTGTCTCAGTTCTTTGCTGAGGATACACTACAAAAACACACTTTTGTCTATTTTCCACGATATTTCTTTATTGTTGACCTTNGTTTATATTGAAATTGTTTTCAAATGACAAACCATTCACCATATTTCTCATTTTATTCATGTCCTGACTATTGATGTGTGCCAGCCTTCTGTGCCATAGTTTTCCACTTACCACTGGTCCAGCCAACATACAACTCCTTGTATGTAATCTCAGCTTATATACACCATCTGTCAAATCAGCTGTGGCTAACAAAACATTGTTTTTGTTTCGTATGTAAGAGTGTTTTTCATCAAAACTGACATTATTTCCGTTTTTAATAAGTTCACTTACAGATAATAAGTTTGTTGTCAAACTAGGCACGCATAGCACATCTTTCACAGTAATGTCAAAATCTAAGTCAAAAACAATATCGACGTCTCCGGAACAAACAACTGGCACTTCTGATTCATTTGCTACCACAATTTCAGGTAAACACGGTGTGGAGTTCATGTTTCTAATAATCCAAGTTTCATTCACCGTCATATGTGCGCTTGCGCCGGAATCTACGTACCACTCTGTTTTGTTAAATTTTCCATTCAGGAAAACCACATTAAATACATATTTGCTTTTATTTTTCTTCAATAACGGGCACTGATTTCGATAATGACCATCTTCTTTACAATTATAGCATGTTATTGTTTTCTGTCTTTTTGTTTGACGTAGAGGGACCGCCCTACTTCTTTGGCTTTGTGTTGTCAGAGTAAAATTTATTTCGAGCTGCAAACGCAGCTCCGGTTTCTGCACTATCATTGTCACTGGTCACTTCCATGTCAAGTAATTTCGACTTTATGACATCTGCAGTTATCGAAATACCTGAGTGTGCGATTACCATGATCATGGGCATATAACGATCGGACAAACCTGCTAATAATAATGAGCCAACCCATTCGTCTGTTATTGTAAAACCTGTGCCATTCAACCGCTGTGCTGTCTTGAGTATTTGAGTCACATATGTCGCCATAGAATCACAATTTTCTTGTCTTATGGATATCAAATGTCGCAGCAATGTTATTTTTCTTGAGAAACCTGAATCATCAAACATGGTCTTCAATGTGGTCCATAATTCTGCTGAGCTCTTGGTATTCTTGATATGCACGTACAATGACGGGTCTACAGTCAATATTAGTTTTGCCTTCGTTTTTGCATCGTCCACTGGCTTAACTTCAAAATCTGGCGTCGGTTTGATGTATTTGTCCATCCCTTCGAGCACCAACAAATTTTCAGCCGCGAAGCTCCACTCATCATAGTTCTCTCTTCCTTTTAGTTTAGGAACATTGGCAATATAGTTCGTAGTCATGTTTCCGCGATACAACTTTCACAAATTATCTATTTTAGAAAAAATAACTGATAATTTCGGGGTAAGCCTATAACCTGTAATGAAACGAGTGAATGTCGCTAACATACTAATACTTTTTATTAAATCAGGTATTCAGATTTTTTTTTAAACAGATACATACATCAACAATAAAGTGTATACTTTGCATAAGAGATGGCGTTACCAGTAACCAATAAGTTATATTTTTATTTTGATACATCATTCTAACAATTACAAATTACCAAAGGTTCCAAATAGTACATCACAATCACTAATAACAAGTTGACTTCTAGTTCTGGGACATAATATGCGTTATTAACATTTATTTTTCAGGAAGAAACTGTTCAGGTTTTGATGAATACAGAAGCAGCCCTCGTATTTTAGACACCAACTAGTGGCTTGAATTGGGCCTACGCAAGATAAGCACCACCGTTGGAACCGCTAGACTGGATAATAGCCAGATACTTCTCGTGCAAGGTTTTCACCAGACTGACATTGTAGTCAGTGCAGTGCAATTTAGCGAGGTCACATTCACGGGCTCACCTCAAATATAGGAGTGAACATGAAGATACTCCGCCGGAGGCATAATTTTATGCACCAGGATCGTCCAAATGGAGAGACCCTTTATAGAGACCCAAAGAACCTCGCCCATTCAATTGTAGACTTATCACAATCTCGTAGGCTTCACAAACAACATGCCCATCTGATATCAAGCCTGACGAAATACGATGCCGACATCGGTTATAGTACAGGTTTAAATAAAACATTCTAGAAGCAAACCAAAGGTTAGAGGAAGTTACCAGATAACCACCCATGTCGTTTTTGGACCAACAGGAGGTGCTGTAGGACCGCAAAGGGCAACCCTAGTAAGAATGAAGCTTACTCGCAACGTAACATCTGGAGCATAAACTAGAAGAGTCCAGTTGAAGACATACCTCATCATGAGGTATTGCAATGGAGGGGCGAGTCTGAGCTCTATCTTGTTTTCTAACCGATGACCAATAGGCTGTGCTGGTGATGTGTCTAGCTCAGACATACGCGATATGCCCCAGTTTTATTATGTTCGCGTTGTGGCAGATTTCCGAGAATGTGACTTTGTATGTGTACCAACCTTGAATAGGTGGTAGTATTACTTTGGAGAGGTCCTTATTCTCGCAGATGAGAAATAGTGAGTAGAGATACTAGCCCAGGCCACCGCTAGGTACCTGTTACCACAGTCTTGACCTGGAGTTGTAGTCTACTATCTCGATATAGAGGCTAGAGAAAAGGAAGTTTACAAGAAGAGGAAGTCACGACTCAAATGTCCATATTCAGCGTGCTGTTATCGACAGCCCAGCACGGACTTTTATAAACCAGATGGGGTTCATTGTCCAATAGATTTACTAGAAAGCACGCGACGATTTATTAGGACCATAGTATCAGTTGCTGTATGCCGTCTTGATTTTTTTTTCTTCGCTATTTCTTTTGTTTTGAATTATGTTGCTATTTCACTTAGATAAGCCGAGATCATTTTCATAGGTGAATCTGCATGACAATGTAGGCTTGTGTTTTCGAAGAGAAGGAGATCTGAATCTTTGAGACATAGAAGAAATTTCCCTTAACTTTCTTTCATTTGAGGGATATGTTGACCGTTTTTAGTTATGATAATAGTTTCGTACCGAGTGAACGAAAGTTAATAATGTGTGAGTATGGATCTCCTGTTTTTTCCGTAGGGTGTGAAATTGAGTTATTGGTTTCGGGTTTTGTTCTTCATTCGATTTTTCATCAGTCAGTGTTTTTTCAAAAAACTGTTATTTAAGTTAAATATCGGTTTTTTAACAGAGAAGTGACTGATATTCAGTGCGCTCATTAGTCCCGCTCGGTGAATCCTCTAAGCCCGGCAAAAAGTTATGAGGCTTCCGACCGATACTCGCATAGTTTGGTCAACAGAATAAGCGATAAAGTATGTGGCCCCGACAGAATTCTGCGTTTGGATAAGGAGAGTAGGGCTTGATTTGATATACCGCCGCAAGTCAGCGATGAATATCTTATTCGGCCGATTGACATGTTCAGTACACTAAACCAATAGTAGATTAGGGAAGCCGAAGCCGCCCGAACTGATCCAAATGAACGTTCTCTGTTGAAGGTCAGTCTTATCAGAGTGACTGACCATACCGGGACAGCAACAGTCCAGCAGAACTGAAATTGTCCAAACCCAGTAGATTAGAGTTAAACAATCTGAGAAGATTAGATGTAAAATTCAGTCTCAGCAGAACAGCCGGCTGACTCACCACTGAGACAGCAGCAGACCGATATCGCTCGAGTCCAGTCGACCAAACCCAGGGGAAACTGCAGCAGAGGAGGTAGAAGTTGATGAAAGTTAGACAATCTGAGAAAACCTCTACCCGCCGCCATTACGAGTCGAGGTTCACATCACGTTGTGTCGGAAGTGTATACAGTGTTTACGTCTTTCTGAATACGACTGCGTTGAACCCAGTTGAGCCTGTTCATCTTGATTCCACTCGATTCAGCTCAGCTTTACTACTACTTTGTGCTCGTGAACTTCATCGGAATTACCAATTGGCCCAGATGCTGTCTCACGTTCCCCACGAGATGTCTATAGCAACACTGTTGTGATGTTGAATCATAATTGCGTTATTTGGGCTCCAAATTTCAACATGAATGAAAGAAGCATATTTTCTGCAGGTCACCAAAACTTCTGCTTTCGAAAATTCAACTTGTTGTATGCCTTATAATACATCAGTTGAACATTTTATTTTGTGTCTCATATCATTGAAACGACATAT